TCGATGTCCTGAACAAAAAAATAATCAGTCCAAATCGCTCTCCAAAATAATTGAACAAGTTCATTGCTCACCCTTGGATTTATCCAAACTGTCTCTTCAGTAACATCGATCTGGCGCATGCCGTAGAATTTGCTGATCTCCCCAGGTTGACATTTGTAAACCTCAATCTTGCTCTTTTCAGGTACACATGCACCCGCTCCCCATACTCTTTTGACTCTACATATAAACCGCACTGTTGAAGAATGTAATTTGACCTAGAATTAATTAATCAAAAAGGTGAATAAAATGTATTTGAATATATTTTAAATTGAAATAATTTTTTTGAAAGGGAGCAATAATCCTTATGTATCTCTTACCGATAAAAAGGTATCCTCCCCACATTTCTGCTCATTCTTCAAAGATAATGACTCCAAAACCCTCCAGTTCTTTGCCGAGTAAGAATCCAAGATCGCTTTGGGGATGCACTCTTCATATGGTGCCTGTCTCTCGCAAATCTCTGAATAAATTCAAACATAAACTCAGCATTTGGTTGGTACCCAGAGGATAGAAAGTGTATATCTTACTTCCAACCTTGAAATCACGCTCCTGGTTCCATGATTGATTGTAGCCTACAGTCTTTTGAAATAACACATTGTTTTTGAAGATGTTGGAGACATTTGCGCTTGCCCTGATGAACGATTTCAATACTTGATCATACAAAAGTGATCCAGAGGTGAGCGCTCGGATAAGCCTGTGATTGTTGAACAAGTTAGCTATGTCCCGACCTGGACTCAAATGATTTGAGTGTATCGATGAATTCCGAGTGTTACCGTTGTAAGACTCAAAATTTTCAGTTGCAAAGAGGCAAGCTGGACCAAAACGAAGGATTGATGCGGAAAGGTGAACAAGCATATGAAATTTGGGCTTGTTGCACCATTGAGCTGAGAGTCGAACAATTGATACAAGGAATGTTTCAACTTGCTGACCAAGTTGAGCAAGATACAAGTCCATATTTGTAATTTCCGTCTGAAAAATGAAGGGTGCAAGATGAGAGAGTGCGGTCCATGCTTTGCGCTCATCATCTGATAAATCACATTCAAAAAAAATGAACGGTGCTGATTGTAATACTGTACGAAATTCCTTTCCTGTAAGGCTTTGAAAGTGAGTAATCATGCTTTTTGGCTGAATTGGAGGAATGTTCAATCCAGAAGTATTGAATGATCTCCATCTACCCCAAACTCCTTCCTTTTCTTTTGCTGAACACAACTTCATTCGATTACGGAGAAGGTATTTTGCAACTCCCAACAGCACCACATGAAGGATCTCGATTGGGGTGTCCTGATGGCCATCAAATCCTGTGAGCAGGTTGATCAAAATGATCAGTTTGATAAAATATGAAAGAATATAGATTCAAAAAAACAGAAATCAACCTTTCAACCGCAGAAATGGATTGAACAATTTTTCATCAAATTCTTCGTTAAGTTCACGGCAGACCTTTTCTACTTCCTCTTTTGAAAAGGATGAATTACGATGCATTTCTTGAACCTTTCTTACAAATGTCATATTCAGCTGATCCCGAATTCCGAATTTTGCCGATTCACTGTCAAACATTTTAAGGGTCCCTGGCCGTTGCGCTAGTTCCCAGAGCTCTTTTGTTTTTTTTATAGTTTCTGACCAGTCTCTTTTGGGTAAAGACAGCTTTAAACAGAACACAGAGTAGAATGAATGAGTCATGAAAGAAACCAGTTGTGAGAGTGTGAAAAACTGAAAGCTACCTTATGCCCGTCCTCATCAAGTCCCAGGAAGTTACTGACATATTTCGTTGATTTTTTATCTGCCAGTGAATTTACCCTCAAGTCGCAAATTCGGCATGGAGTAAGCGAGACAGTTGGGTTCATCGTATTGGTCACTTCCGCATGCATCGGTGAGTCTCCTAAATGACATAAAACAAATGGAACCACTAAGACTTCTTTCTTGACCCGGTCATCATATGCCACAAAACCATTTGTAGTCAGTTCACTGAGGAGAACAATTTATTGTTAGATTATATTATCAAAAGACAGAATCGCCAACAAGTCACTTACTTTATTGAATCAACCACAGGATCAGCGAGCTCCAAAGCGCTTGCTGTATTTGATGTTGTCAGAAAGTGACAATTGTATTCTAGATTTGCAAATTTTGAGGGTAATCCGGCCAGATTAAAATAGAACGCCAGGTGCTTGTTCCACCGTTTTGAAATGTTTCCTGACAGGTCATCACAATACAAGACCAAAGGCACATGGCGAATGATCCTGTCACCCGCTTTTTTTCGCCATTGATTTTGTATTGGCATTTCAGAAAATTTCCCACCACCGATGTCCTCTAAAATCTTGAATGAGTTCCTTTGTTGCAACTAAATATGTTATTTGTGAAGACTTACCATACATGAAATTCCCACAGTGGTTTTTCATTAGACTATGATCCCTCATTTCAATATTGTTGAATACTTTCCAAAAAAAATCCACATTGATCGACTTTAGATTTGGTGAATCGAAGGATAAAGCTGATGGATATTCTACACGGATCTGCTGCTGGCCTTCAGGCCCCTTACCAACAACCTGATGTGTGAATACACACTTTGCAAATACTTGAGTGTTGATTCGATAGAAATACTTTGGTATTACAAGTCTCTTTGATTTAAGTTGGACTGGCTCATGTAAAAAGAAGTGCCCATTGGGTGACTCGATCATCTGGACCCGTAGATCGGTATCTAGATCTTCTCGCCATTTTTTTGACTGGGTAAAACGGTGTACTTTGGATGTTAAGGTAGGTAATTCAGGCATAAATTCAAGATGTTCCATTACGTAAGGATTGGCTAACTCCTTATTAATAGGAAAGAGATTTACATATGTTAATGTAGGAATTGATTTCATCAAATTAAAGTGGAAAAGGTTCACTTGAGTCAAAATTTGCTTGATTTTTAGTCCAAAACAAGGTTTCTCCAAGGGACTGAGACCCTTGGAGACATCAAAATCAAATCGCTTCTTCAATTCTCGGCGTACACGTTGAAGAGTTTTGTATGCTGGAAGTTTGACACCAAGAAGCCCAACAAACAAACGAACTCGTTCATATTGAAGTAAAGACATGATAGTCCTGGATGAGCCGAGAATCAACATTCCCACAAGTTCCTGACTGTGGCAATAAAAGTTAAACAATACACTGAATGCTATAGATAAAACGACTAACCTCCAAGCTGGAGAAAGGAGCCCAGGAAGACAAATCCTGCTTTTTGGTGAACATCTCTTCTTGTGTAGATTCCTCATCTGAGGTGGATGATGTTCCTTTTTCATCATCTTCATCAAGGTCATCCATTGAATCGTTTTCTTCATCATTGTTGGTACCATCCAGACTATAAGCTGGATCTTCAAAAAGATGTGAATAATCTCGTGTCCAAAGGTCAACCAGAGCCCGACGCCGATGATAATTTTTATCAACATCAGATAGGTTATCGATCTCAATTTCAATTTCTTGGTTATCCATATTAAGATGATTGGAGATAATACCATCCATCGCATTTGCTGGAGGTGAATCGGGTGCGATTGCATCATCTTCAAAAGATATCAAGTTGGAAGCTGCAATGCGTTGGGAAGACCATCTTGTGAAATGTCGGATGTGATTTTCAGATTTAGAATGTCTCTTAATCGATCCTTCTTGCATAGTCCGGTTTCCTGGACAGGCAAGACACAAGTATACAATGTCTGCTGGCCCACGAACAATCTCTGAAAAGCCTGGGAAGACCGTTCTGTGTCAGCTTCGATGTTCTTGTTAAATTGGCATTTGGAGATGATTTACATTCATCAATGTAACGAGCTTCAGCCATTTTGAGTATGTTTTGATTTCTGAATATGAGGTGAGATGAGAAGAACCAAGGATTGAAGAGCGGAGAAAAAAATTGCAGAAAACGTCCTTTGACCAAAGGGAATGAAGAGAGTTTGTGCAATGTTCTTTTGGTCCAGAGACAAAAACATGTTGCTCTCCCGGTTGGCCACCGTGTTTCAGTGGATGATGACCTGCTGCACATCCGCTGATCATTAAACCAGTGGGAACGTGATACAATATCACGGGGTTGTCAAAGGGTAATGAACCTCGAGTGATCAACCGCTGTGGGTGTGGTTGATCAACTGTAATTCCAGGGACAAGCGCAGACCCGGTCAGATTGCGGTACCGCACCAAGTATACCCCAGGCTACAACAGTAAATTTTGAAACCTCCTCAAACCGGTTCCTCAACAAAAGATGGGTCCGTGGTGTAGACAGATGCTAAACTTACCAAGTCTCCCGCTGCTTCCTGAATGCTTCGAGCAATGAACCGATGCGTCTCAGGAATGCACGGTCAGAAGGCAAACAAAAAACTTCCTTGCCTCATGAATATCCCCAACTGGCAAAAAAGGTTTCAAGGAAGCCGGATTTCTCCTGCAAAAACTGAGGCTGCAAAAACTCATCGCCCTCACAGGCCAAAGCATGCCTCGTTGGCTCGAGAGCCTCGCTGCACTCGAAGCGTGCGAGAAGCAGCGTGGGATTTCTCATTTGGATAAGTTTAGACAGATGCGTCCGGGATCTTGTTCAAGCTTTTCATCCACTACTTGCTTCTCACGGCCATCTTTTTCTGGTCGAGCAATAAAGCTCATCTAGAATGATTATGTAAGTACTTTCAGTGAGTGAGTAACACAGTCAAGCCCCCAGTCCTGGCAAAATTCTGAACTCGCCTTCAGGCAATCGCCCATCATCGAACGCCTCGATCGACGTCTTCCGCTCATGACACCAAGTACACCTGAAATCTACGAGCGTTCAGCGTCTGTTGCCGGAGTCATGTTGGAGGCCGCTTCGGTGAGATGCTGGTGTATTTGAAAGGTTTATCGCTGAAAGCTGACATGATTGGTGGGGTATAAGAGTAGGGTATCTGAGGATGTCGCCGAAGTGATGAGATTCATAACATCCCTTCCGCCGGATACCAATGTATATGCGGCCTTGATACCGTTCCTCAATGCGAAGGCTGCAACGGTGAGCTCATATCTTGATCAGGTAAAGACTCCTGATTTAATGTCCAATCGCGCCCGAACTGGGATGGGTTCAATTTCAACAGTGTAATCCCAGGTGGATGTCTATCATTTTAGTATTTATCCTCTTCACGCACATCTTGTGAGTTTTTTCTATTCTTTTGAATCAATACGTGATACTCAATCATTCTCTCTAAACATTCAAGTGTGTTGGTGTTGGCTTTGACCATACTGTCATACCATTTGAGAAGGGGAGATTACTGGTGGTTTACAACACGGCAAAGTAAGTGTTCGAGTTATAAGACAACTTCAGGCTTCAGATGAGATGATGGCACTGAAAACTGGGAGAATATTCTTCACCCTGTAGAGTTGTTCAAACTGGATCGAACCCTCTGCGAGTGCCTGGGAGCAGGATGTTACGCCCTTGGTAAGTGATTTGATCCGATGAAGCAAAAGGATGTTATTTGATAGGGGTTTTGCATGGGACAGTATCTATTGCGGATATCTCATCCCAGCTATACACAGACTACTACAAAACTCCAACTCCAGGCCGTATTCTTCTTTTCTGGCTCAGATGGCCTGTCGTAAGTTGGTCGCTTTGGTATGTGCTACATACAAGTCTAATCTTCACTATCCGATACATCTTTTTGATGCTTATTTCTTCGACTAACAAATTCCAATCCGCCAGGTGTATAATGTGGATATGTATCTCCACTCACATCCAAGGATTTTGGGATCCAACTTCCCAAAAAATTCTCGGTTCCAGTGCGCGCGAAATTCCAAAATGGCTAGTCATCCTCCTCAACTCAGCTTTTGTATTCTTTGCCATCGTGTTTCTTCTGGGTAAGCGAGGCTCTGGCTCGAAATGATCTTCATCTAGACTTGACATCGAGGATGACCGCACGTTGATTTCCCTGGTTTTCATCCTTTACAAAGCTCACCCGCTCATGGGTATTCCATCTCACCTGATCTACACCCAAATCTTCAACACTCTCCGTCACGTCACGGATGGTTTGCTGGTAGCCTCCAAAGTGCCTGATGGAAATCAATTGTCCATTCTACATCTAGTGAACATCTTGTACCCGCTATTGAACATTCCTGATCGCACTGTAAGTGACACTGTCTGGCGCGCGAGACAAAATACTCTTGATTGGTCAGAACCCTCGAAGATACTGACGGCGACGCATTCGAACTCACTGTACTATAGGATGAATTGGCTCACGAAGTCCGGAAATCTGCTTTGTTCCTTGAGGCAACTAATGTCAGCTTGATAATAGTGGGTCGATCACAAGATTTTTGCTTTGAGCATTTGAATCTGATGTCGAAAATTGCATCAGTTCTGTGTTTGTTTCTGACTAATAAACTTGTTTCATAGACATATATCCCATTTGTTTACTTAACCTATCGCCAGTTACAATATCTCAAGCGAGCTCAAAAGGACCTATCAGCCTTGCAAGATTTGATGTCGAGGAAAACATATTACACGGAGGAATTGAAAAAATTACTTCTTGAGGCAGCTCTTTTGCTTTTCGTGCTGATTTCCTATCAACCTTTGTTCATCTGGATGGTGAATTTTTGGTTTGCTTGACATCAATGGGGCTACACTCGTCTCATATCTGGTTTAATTTTGGTTTAATCTCACAGCTCACGACGCGCACTTCCGAGAAACTGCTCCTTTCAAATGCAACAGCTCTAGTGCCTGAGCTGGTGAACATTTTCGAATTCCAATGTTTTTGATACTGTGCTTGAGCATGACACTTGATGGGATCAATCGAACATGGCCGCTGATATTTTGATGCTTTATTTCGGATGACGATATCTAGACTGTTACTTTGACGGCATGCCTTGTAACACCATTGTGAGATCATACACTTGATCATCCTCTCAAATCATCTGGCTGACACCAAAGTTTTTTTTTCTGAAGCGTTGGCATCCTTAGACTTATCTCAACAAGGCGTCTTCTCATCCAAAAGAGGGCCGACGAACATGAACAGGAAATCAGCTCAAAGAAGATCGCCGCAAGTGACATTGACCAGCCAATTCGACTTAAACATCTACAGCCCATTTATGTTGTCAAGTCAGCAGATAGAACCAATGATTCCGATATGAAATTCGATGTTCTTGAGAAATCAGATTGAGAAGCTTTAATCCTAAGAAGGGCTCTTTGGAACTCATCTTCCATTTCTGCTTAAAATTTGTAGGTCTTTCTATAGTCAAGGAAGATGATGTAATTTTTATAATCTTTACCCTATTCTTATCTCATCCATTGTTTTAACTCAATGACTGAAAAATCTGACTTGCTATCATCTACTCGTATTCTACTTTATACCTTTTAACCTTTATATTTTAGCTTTCTTGGCCCTCCTCTGAAAATCATTCGTGTAGTTGAGACCTACTCGTCATTCTGCGGCCCTTAATACCTCTTGCTTTCTCTTGTGTTTGCTTTCTCTTGTGTATGCTTTTTCTTGTGTATGATTTCTCTTGTGTTCATCAAATGTTCAATTCTTCTTGCCAATCATTCAGCCTTTCTTCCTACACTCTTTCTTCTACTGAAGTGTTCCTGTACTGATCCTAGAAGTCTCACTTTAATACAACATATCCTGGAACAACCCATCTGATTTGTCCAACTCCAACGCTCATTTCTCTCATCTCAAGCAAAGTTTGTTTTTACAGCCAAATCGGGCGGCGGGCGCTGCATTCACAGACAGGGCTTATCATAGTTCAATTCACATAGCAGACTGCAAGAGTCCTGCATGGTATGTTTGTTAGTGAGATTGGACTCTTGATAATCTCACTGAGATGAGCAGAGTGATTTTCGTACATTCATGAAACACATCTTTGAATCATCAAAGGTTTCTTGACTTTATCTTTTCTCAATTCTCACTCATTTAAACTACCCTCACCTCATATCAAAGACAAAATTCAAATAATCCTTAACCTCAAACCCAAATCAGCTTCATTTCTACATATCTTTTTCAATTTCAATTTCCATCCATTTTATTCTTCCTCATTTCTCAAATCCACATGAAGAAAATCACCAGATCAACCAATTCAAAGAAGAAGAAACAAGACAAACCAAAGATCACATCTAAAAATTTTCAAACATCTCCATAAATTTCACTTTTTCTTTTTCTCTTTACCTTGACTAGTCAATCGAAGTCCATCTTTTCCAATTTCAGAAACCCCACCCGAAGTCTTCACTTCTCCATCTGTCTTCACTTCTCCATCTGTCTTCTTCTCATTCTCTTCTTTCTTTTCATCATCTTCTCCATCTTCCCATCTCCAATATTCAGCTGTATCACCCGTCATGACTGCTCTTAGGAAAACACTACCTAAACATGCTGGACTCAAATATCTAAACGGAAGTATTTTTTGGGGGGCGGGGAAGAAAAAGATTGATGAGTGAACTTCTTAAACGATCAGAAGCTTGAGAGATGAAAAAAAAACGTACAGTAGAGCAGGTTGAGCAGCTTTGAAGACATGCATCACAAACATCGTAGTAGCCAATCCGACCACATATGATGCCATACAAGTATGGAAATAAGGACGAGGAAAGTTACTGGTAGGCGAAAGAAGCGTTTTCTTATTGATCGGAGCAGTAGCAGCCTTCACTAGTTTAGCATAAGCTCGATGATAATCGTATCGAAGACAGAGTGCCACAAAGATCCCAGGCATGACGATATCACCTAAAGAAATCCAGAAAACATGATTTAAAAAACTTTGACTTGGAATGGAAGATAAAGAAATTGATCAAGGGGAAGTCGAATGGAAACTGACCTAATCCTAACATTGCAAATTTCTTTTGATCAGATGAAAGAGCATCATAGAGAGATCTAGGCCATGTGATTTTAATAGGTGCATCTATCAAACGAGAGAAAGTTAAAATCACTGATCAGAATCGATTCGATTTTATCAAGCCTACAGTGATGAGTTTGGTGAACTGACCAAAGTTTTTAGCTACACTAACCATCACACTTTCACCAAAAGCGTGAGAAGAACCAAAAACCCACCAAATATCATACCTAGTATTTCAAAGTAAACAAAAAAAAAATTCAGTTCAACTTTTGACTCTGAAAAGTGAAAAATTTAAGAAATCAAAGAGGGGAAAAAAATGAATCAAGACTCACAAGAATAAACCAGCCAATAAGACACTACCGGTTTTAAATGAATCAAGTTTAAGTAAAGTGATAGCATTAAAAGCAAAACTCAAAGCGAATGCATTACTCAAGATCCATTGTTTAGTATACCATTGAAGAACCGAAAGAAGAGTGGAGACAAAAAGAAAAGCTAAATGCCAATTGGTAAACCTTAACCCAAACAAAACTTCTGAAGAGTTTTTAGTTAATCTAAATTTATATTTAGTTTGTTTTGACCAAGATTGAGATCCTAAGATAGATTTCGTAATAGTAGCTAGCATGGTAGTTAATCCTCCTGTACCCATTAATGCAAAGTATCCTGATAAGACTGCATTGATGAGATCTTTATTTAAGTATTTGAAAACTAAGTAAAGACCAAGTAAAGCACCAGAACCACTGAAATATAAATTCAATTTAAAAAACTTGGGATTAGTCAATCTAGAAATTGATCATTTTCGTTCATCTTCTTGAGTTGATTTATGAAAAAACTTACAGAACTGGAAACCAATAAGCATCTTCACTTGTCATTCGTTCTACTTCTTCTTCTTCTTCATCAGATGAAGATTCATCATCATCATCATCCGAAGTTTTAGATTTAGATTTTCTAACTACCGGAGCCTATGTAAACCAAACAGATTTCAAAAAAGTTAAGATTTATAATCAAAGTGAGAAAGAGGTGAGATCGGTAAGGAAAGATCATTTACCTTCACAGAAGCGTGTGATGCAAACCAAATTGGAATAACAGCTGATACCTAGAAACCATAAAACCAACAGAATCAGATATAATTTCAAGATGAATGATTGGTAAGAAAAGAAAACAAGACTTACACCTAAAGCTACGTAAGCTTGATAGATGGTATCCATCTGTAGTTTTGATATAAGATTGTAATCCGATTCGATTTCGATATCAAAGGTTGAAGTTGTAAAAGTGAGGGAATCAGGAATGAAGAAATGGGGAAATCAAGAAAGCTTAAGTTGGATTATATACAAGTTAGAAGACTGTATGTGTAAGATGACACGTCGTCGATTTTACGAAACTAGCCATTCAACATTCACTTGGTTTCCAATTGCCAACTTGACTTTTACCAATCTTCTTACTTCACTTCATTTCATTTTCAACTTTCTCATTCAAATTCAAATCATCTTACCAATCTCATCAAATCAATCTCATTTCAAAACCCATCATATACTTGGAACTTGTTGCAACCTAAGAATGTTATTTAAACTTTCCGACTCTTTCCGGTGACTCTCATTGATTTCATGATGGGTTTAATTCCAATTCCAAGAGAAAGGCTGGAATCCAAACAAGATATTAAGAATAGTTAAAAGAACAAATAGATTACTGTTACAATTTGATAAAAGAGGAAATGAAGGCTTGAAAGATTTGAGAATTCATCAACAAAAGACTTGAAGGCTTTGATGTTGGGCAGATAAATTCAAACGAAACCAATTCAAACGAAAGACTTGAAAGAAAAGAAAACGTAATGACAAGAGATTAATCATCTTCTCTACGAGGCGTTACCCCTCGATGTTCTAAATCGTTCAAGATATGTTCAGGTAAAGATCCAGTGATTCGAATAGCATATACACCAGGTTCATAACGATTGATTCTTTGCCATTTTGCCTAATCAGAGTAGAAATGTCTAAATCAGATCAGTTGTGAAAAGAAAATGATAAAGTTTAGATCAGATAACTTACTACCCAAGATTGATCTGGATCTAAAATCGCAGCTGTTCCATCAAATGTACCAGCAGTACATTCCAAGACTTTTTCTGAATTACCTTTCATCTATAAAAATCGAATAGAAAAAAAACAGAACTTGGTATTTCGATTTTGTAAGGTGATGGATGGTTTGGTTTGGTTGTTTTTAATGAATCACTTACTTGTAATAAATCATCACAATTCGGACAACCTTTGTTTTTGAATTGTTGAGCTGTTTGAACAAATGAACATAACATACATGCTCTGAGTTTTGATTTGGATGACATTTTGGTTAAAGTTGATGAAGAGAATTTGAGCTTTTGATGGGAGGAATTCAAATTGGAATGAAAGTTCCAGTCAATTGAACCAGATCAGTTGGTCACCGGGTCACGGTACTTTTGGGTTTCAGTGACGAGTTTTCTAGATGGTTCGAGTACTTTCATGGTTTCGAGTATTTGAGGGTGAGTGCTTTGATCGAGTATTTCATGAGTTGGTTTCAGCATTTCCTCATTTCCGCATTTACTCAGCTTACCAAATGGATTCAACACCAATACCAACACCACCACCTATGTTTGCTTGTATCATACCATCTAGACCAATGTAAGCTCACTCATTCATACTCAAATCAATCAAACTTGAGATTCTCAACTAGAGTAAAACTCATCAAATGGTTCATCATGATGACTATCATTGATTCGAAAGACAAACTCAGTCAACTGCGATTCCACCCGATAAGATTATCTTTGAATTCGAGGAAGCTAGTCTGATTAACCATCTAGTTGTCTTCTTGACCGGTGCAAGTATGTGATTTTATTCTGTAAAACTTGATGATCTATAAAAACTTGATGAATGATTTTGACTGATATATATGAATTCTTTGGAATATCTAGTACCTTTTCCTGAAGGATATGGAGCTTCAGTTCATTTCTTGTTCCCAAACCAATCTGAATGGAAATTACTTGGAATGTAACCCGACCATTTCCTTAGCATTATTTTTTTGAAAAAAAGCAGATCAAGACTCTAACTTTGATTTGGGTTGAGTTTGTAGGTTAAGTGAAGAGAAACCATCAGCGATATTTAAATTAAAAGGAAACCAACGATCGAATTTCAATCATCAACTTACCTCAACTTCCAATTCATCAATCCCTCAAGATCATACCAAAGCTTCATTAGGATTCCAAATCTTACCATTAGAACAATTACAAACCGAATGTCAAAGTCTACCGAACCAACTCATCAAACTTTCATCTCTTTCTACCTCTAATGGTTGGATTCATCAAACCGGATTAAATTCAGATTCGATCGAATTGATTAAATCCTTGGGCTTATCGATCTTTAATTATTTGGCTTCTTTTTCTACTACCATTCCTGGTATCAATGGTCAATGGATTAATTTTGTTCATTTAGAGAAATGGTGGAAAACTTTTCAAAACCAATCTTCACTTGTTTTAAAAGCTTGATCGTCAAAAGAAAAAAAATGAAAACTTTGTTGGTTGATTTTTCGGTTTCTCTTTTTTCGTCAAAAGTGAAGTTGTTGTATACAATGTATGTGTGTCTTTTTCTTACTGTTTAATTTTTATCATTCAATCAAATACAAACTAATCATTCAATATCAATCAAAAGAATCCTGCTTTTTGATTATAATCATGTATGAACACTAACATCAGTTTGACAAATATTCACATTTTTGAGTATACAGAAATCATTTTTTGTTTGTTTTTATATACAAATGGAAACCAACTCCGAACAAAATCAACAAGAAAGAATATTTAGATCTTGATAAATGGGAAAAGAATGGTTTATGTTTATCTTTGATTTTAGATCAGATTTGCTAGTTTATATTCACTTTCAATCACATTCATAAGATTGGTTGTATTATATGGCTGATGAGCAGTAGTATTAGTAGAATTAAGGTGAGAAAATTGACTTTTACAAACCGGTTGATGATCTGAAAAAAATCCACACTCAAGATCAGTCAAAATGATCTAATGTGATGAAAGAGAGAGAGAGAGAGAACAGAAAAAGAGGTAAGCTTAACTGATTAAGATTTCACAAGACGTATTTAAGGAAGCAGAAGCCTTGTTTTGTAAAACAGAATGATATAATAAATGACGACCTAATGGACCATCAAGACAACCTTTGAAAACTTGATCATCTTCGAATTTATAATCTTTTTCAGGATGAGTTTTTTTGATACATTTTTCTAGTAAGCTTTTGGTTCCGATATGTTTTGATCCCAAAGGATTTGAAGTTTGACATTGAATAAATGACCACCTTTTAGAATTAAATAAACAAATTCAATCAAATCAGTTCGGTTGATGAGATCGGTTTGTGAAAAGGATTTAGATAGGCGTTTTGAAGGCTTTACCAATCTTTGAAAAATGGAAATCTAGCTTTGTAACATAATTGTTGAATGTTTCCTTCACATTCTGTGTCTCCATGAAAACAAGTGACTCCAAATCGACTTGAAGAATTTAACCTTTGTGTAAAGAATCGAGAAAACCAGATGAGAATTGATGATTCGAGATGGTGTTAAAGATTTGAAAAGTTTTTGGATAGAGATCGAAAAACAAAGACTTACTTTGCAACATAGCCAACCTCAACGTCCATCTTATCACCAAGTTTAATCAACGCTTCATCAATAGCTTTTTGACATTCTATCATTATGACGTCAAAAGAAACCCACGGAAAGTAAATCAGTTAGACTAGGTTGGAAAAATCAATCATGAGTATGTAGAATTCGATTTACTTTTAGCTTCTGGACATTGACTCATGACAATTAAAGTCACTGGAACTTTGAAAGGAATAATCTTAAGTTGATCTGTTGAATTGGTTTCGGGAAATGGACTTGAAGGATGTGGAAGGGGTCCGGCTGATAAAGAAACTTTGATTAAAAAGAAACAAGAAATTAAAAATGATGAGAAACCAGTCATCTTGATTAAGAATTTAAAGTGTTTTTGATGTGTCACTGGGACTAGGGGATTCGTTTTGAAGAAATGGTCAGCTGGATTCGAAAGACGGGATGGGTATTTATCTACATTTTTATGGTTCATGGGTGTGTGTGTGTGGTTATTGTGGAAAACGCTTCAGGAGTTGAATGTCGGTTTAGATTTGAGGGACCATCATGTTGAGAGAACTGATCAAGGTTGATCATGATCATGATCATTTGTTTATCACTTCAAGTTCAAGATAAATTTACTAAAACCTTCAACACAACCAGATTTGATCAGAATATTTATGGGATAGTGAATTGATCAGTTTGAAAAGGCTAGTTGATCAAGATATCCTGTCTAATCGGTAATCATGAAAGGATCTTGAATAATATTTTCTTATAGTCTTTTTTATTATTATTTCACTAGTTTTAGTCGATGATGATGATGGAAAGGACATGAACTATGTTAGAGAGACGATCAGTTTAAATTCATGTTCACTGATCCTCTTTTGATACATACGTGGATCAAGATCACAAGTTTAATGGCATGAAATTGCTCAAGAGTTGATCAAGTTTGCTTTATAGAATCATAAACTCAACCAAATATATAACTCCTTTAGTTTTTTTCAAGTGTGGAAGATGTATGATTTCTTTCTAAGAACTCAGTTTAGGGATTGCACAACAAATTAGATAGTTGATCAACCAGCCTGCCAAGGTTCAACCTGCTGCAATGACCCAACACGTCAAATGTGGATTTAGCACACCTTCCCAGGTGAGTTTTTAGGGATAGGTCTGGGTTTTACGTGGAACTGTGGTGCAGGAATTTCAGCTTGTAGGGAATTTATATGACTCAATCAATACGCCACCTAACATTTTTAAGCTTCTTTTCAAGATAAAAACCTTTGTGGTGTTTATGGTCTTTTAAACAGGAGAACCACAGGACTCAATTCTCTCTCCAAATCCACTGAACTGAAACTGTCATCTTTTGGGCCTGCACTTTGCCCAAACCCTGCTATCAACATAAGAAAGGGTAAACATCCTTGGTCCTTGGTGGTTCCTGAGACATTATCAGAATCTTGGTAGCAAGAACCAACAAGAAGGATGTTTGTTGACCAAAACATGGTTTAGTATTAGAAACTGACAACACCTCATGTCAGGAAATCTATAGATGTCAGAGACCAGATGAGCTTGTGACTAACACGGGGTTTTAATGGTGATTTTGATGCCAATTACAAATGGTAATGTTGTGTCACCATTTGAATAGACAACACATGAATTCAGGTGGCAGGGTGTCTTTATCAAAATGTAATTGTGAAAGTTGTTATCCTCCTGACAAATCAACAGCTTTGTTACATTGCATACATACCTTCCAATCAATGATAAATAAGTCATTTGAGTGAGTATCTTGCTTTCCGATTATCATTTTACCTTTAGATAATAAATACTTACACCTTCTTCACTTCAGAGAAGTACTACTACATAGAAATCTGGTGTACACTTTTCTAAGAAGCAAAGATGCTGGGTCAAAGAAAGGACAGAGCAAGACTCTTATAAACTTGGTGTGTGTTTGCTAGGATATCCATCCATTATCCTATGTAATGATCCAAGAATCAACACTTGCAAAAAAGTGCCAAGCCAGATGATTACTCTGTGAGACACAAGCCTAGGAAACACCATATGGTCAAGGGTTTCATGATTATACATGTCTGTGCTGACATTCTGGGACTGGAGTTGTCATGCCATGCTTTTCCCTACTGCATCAGCCACCACCATACTTATTGCCACCTTCAGTTTCTGCAGTCATCAACCCTATTTCCATCACCAAATCTTTCATCAAGCCTCACATTTCCCACAATTTATTTCAGGCATTCAGAACTGGTGCTGGATCTCTATTTTCAATATGTGGACATGTGGTACTGGCAAGAAAGCAATCATGAAGAAACCCAGAAAAACTGATTCTTGAGTTTGTCTTGCTCTCCTGCCCTAATCCAGATGTTTTTTAATTCATTTTCTTTGATAAATTACTTATATCCTTTTCATTAAAATTGTTTACAACATCTTATTTTCTCTTATATCTTACTTATACAATCCATTTCATTGAAATAGTTTACAACTTGATTTTACATTTTCTTGACACTCTTTTTACACCACAACCTGTTTTTCTGTTTTTCTATTTTTCTTTTCTTGTTTGACAAAATTTTTTTTTTGGCCAGTAACACTGAGAGGTGCTGCATATCACAATCACACTATGAGCTAACCTTTTTGCCCAAAATATCTTGCCAACCACTGCTGAAGCTACCAAGCTCAATGGCCTTCTTTACGTGTCATGCTATTGTTCTCATGGATAGTAGGCTAGGTAACGCTGCAAGCTGAAATTGCCTCAAAGAGGTCAGATAGACACAGTTTGAGATCACATTCTACTATTGTTGACTCATGCTTGGAGTCAAGATTCCATGTACTTAGGTAGATTTCAACCAGCCACATTGTATTTCATTCTCATAAACTCCCCCATCTTTGAAAACATATTGAGTCATGTCTCTTTTTTCACTGTGCTCTTGCTTTGAAGTCTGTTCTTCATGGATGGTAGCCCCAGGTAGTCATGTTCTTGACTTCACTTGCACATGGTGGGGCATTGTCTGTACAAGCTATGTCTGTGCCCAAAATCCAGCTGGCCGCCCAGGGCCTAGTACCAATCAATAATCCACAATGCTTTGGCTTGTCACTTCTTCACTTCCTCATTTTGTCAATCTCACTCTTTCAATAGAGATGATGCAACAACTCACTGGCATCTTCCAAACCAAAACTAATTAATGATTTATCCTGTAGCTGGTATTTGCTTATATTGGGATGGTCATTGATTACTGGTACATCTGGAATTATATCCTGTATTGCTGACTTCTACCACACAATGTAGCAATGCCCTTGAGACAAACTTTTAAGTAAAACTCATTCATACAGCATCTCTGTCTTTTAACAGCATCTGTAGAAAGACCAACACACAAGCAAACACCATTGTGTACATATGTTTCCTGAAAGTGTCAAGACATGCCAGGTTTGAATTGGCTTTGGGGCTCTTGTTGTCAGAATATTATCTTGCTCATCTCACCTAAAAAGACTGTACACTTGATCAAATATCTGACAGGCCCATCCTTTCAGTATGTTTGATTATTTACATGGGAAGGAGGGGTGCATTAACATTTTGGGAAGGATTGTGTACAGCTTGTCTGTTGGACTTCTTCTAATAGTGTATTCAAAATTTCATCACCTTCAAATATCCAGTATTTTTCCTTGTGAGGGGAAAAAATAGCTGGTCAAAATGTCAATGTTCACAGCAGTTGAATTTGGCATGGCTGTGCGTGAACAGTCTGCAGTGTCTCTAAGGGCATGTTCACTTAAGCAGTTTCTGGTGAGAAATTACATTCTGCAAAATTTAAAGTGTCTATTTGGTGGTGTGTGTTTCATTTTTGCAGAAAAAAATCTACAGAATGTGACTTCTGGTCAGAAATTCCTTAGGTGAACATGCCCTAAAGTTTTTCTATAAATTTCCAGGGAAATTTGCCGGACAGTTTCCAGAACAACAGAAACTTTGCTTGTCAAATCCAAATTCCCCTCCTTGACTGCTCTCTTTGTCTCTCTATAAACTCAAGTTTCACCACTCATTCCTACTTGCATCCCCTAACTTTCTGTCACTAGTTTATCATTGGACAGAAACAATTCATTTTGTTGTATTGAATCTGCAGTCAAATTTGATACAAGTGGAACCATAAGGCAAAGTATTTATGTTTCATCATCATTCAAATCAGGATGAATCATTATAAGACCACAGTGTCTGTGGAAGATTGTAACAAATATCCTCAATGAAATGATGTCCAAGGCTTCATTCGGAATCGCTCCAAGGTGCGTAGGTATATTGCTTTGATATAATGTGTATGGGCTTGAAGACTCATGAACAATAGAAACAAAGGACAACTGCAACAGATAAACCAAACTGATATTCCTATATAGGATCAAGATATGCTAAGAAGTTTGAAGATAGCTTACAACTAACTTTTTTTCGAAGTGATGAGTTCTGGTAACTCTGCTTCTTGTTTTTTAAGTTGAAAGAAACAAATAATTTACCTCTTTGAAGGTGTAAGCTCACATCATAGATGAAGACAATTATTAGAGGGTTATTGATAAGTGAATTTGATTGTCTTATAAGCCAATGAGACTGGTATTTTCCAAGTAAAAATGTGGCTAATCTGAGATATAAACAGAATCTGATTTGATGTATTTTTTGTATATTAGATAAATTTAAATTTGTAAAACCCTCCCCTTTCAAGCAAACCTCAGCATCTATGCCTGTCCTTGGGGCTAAACACATAAGTGCTGAGTTTCCGCTTGAAAGCCATAGGCTACAAACATACATCTGTCTTGAATTTCCTGATCTCTTTTTGTGTATGTAACCGACTGCCTCAAGGATGGGCTTAGTTACAACCCCCCTTTGCCTGAGAAAAGAAGCTTTTGTTGCCATGTTTGCTTCAAAGTCAATTTGGAGGCTTCCAAACCATGTCTGACCTCACACTTAACTCAGAAGACATTTGTCATACTCAATAGGCTTGCACACTGCCTGGCACTCTTTTCTCAAATTGTAGTGGATCTGGACTATGTTAACTCACAGGTTTATCACCACTAAATCAATACAGAGCTGGTATACATGCTTGGAAACTTCACAGTGAAGTTATTTGCAGCTCTGATTTCCCCAACACTCACAATAGAAATGGTTTGGCATGAAGTTCAAAATTCTGGAAACCATAGGCAGTCAAATTCCCACTATCTCAACATTAGCACAAATAAATTATGTACAAGAGCCTCTATGAGGCAAACAATTTGTGGGATTTGGGGTTAGCTTCACCTTGCTTCAGCATATCAAGTCATTGGACTCCTTTAATCATATCTCCTAAGATAACGCATCACCCAAACCATCAAGATGTTGTATATAGAATTGTCTCGTAGTACTGT